CCCTTCTCTCTCCCAAATAAATAAATAAATCTTTAAAAAACAAAAGAAAGAAAGAAAGATAGGCCCCAATCTGATTTTTATTCTGTAAAGGACATGAAGGACCAGTTGGGAGATTCAGGATTTCCTCACTAAATAGTCAAATAGCTCAATGAGTCATAGTTGGTTCTTTCAGAATCTACCAACCAACCAACCAACCAACCAACCAACAAAAACCTAAATACATTAGCATTCTTAGGTAATTTATGTCTCCAACTACCTTATCATCAATCACTACTAATATTGGTGGGGAATACTAAATATTCTAGGGCATTTTTTTTTTCACATTGAAATACAGTTTTCACTAGTTTGGGTTCCAGAACAATGATAAAATGCTGATGGAGATATCAGGAAAACCCTTCCTCTGGCAAAGGTGAGGTTTTCATTAGACTGTATTCTACATCCTGGGATGTAGAATATGAAATGTAGGATGAATTATTTTTGGATTAGAAAGTGTTCTTTTTAACATCTTATTATGTTTTATCTATGAATATTTTGTAATCATATTTTTTGCTTCAAGCTGGAAAAAAAAAAAATCCTGCATCTACATAGGCTGAACTCCAGTTGAATATAGAACTGTTGTAATACAAATTGTAATATAAAACAATGAATGTATGAAAAGAGGTCAAGCAGTGCTACTTTTAAAAATTCTAATTTGAATACTACAATGATTGGTGTTGCAGAAATTTTTCATTCTTTTGCTAAAAAGAGAATATAAAGAAGTTTGCACTTAAGGTAAGAAGATCTATAGTTGTAAATGGCAAAAATCTACAAATTTACTGAATATAACTGGGTAAAGAGAACATAATGTTATAATAAAATAATAAACTGAAGTGTAAAATATGACACACAATTTTCATTTTAAAATTGTGGTATCCACAATTACATGGTCAACTAATCTTTGACAAAAAAGGAAAGAATATCCAATGGGAAAAAGACAAGTCTCTTCAACAAATTTTGTTGAGAAAACTGGACAGCTATATGCAAAAGGTTGAAACTAGACCACTTTCTTACACCATACACAAAAATAAATTCAAAATGGTTGAAAGACCTAAACGTAAGATAGGAAACCATCAAAATCCTAGAGGAGAACACAGGCAGCAACCTCTTTGACCTCAGCCACAGTAACTTCTTACTTGATAAGTCTTCTGGGGTAGGGGGGTGGGGTGGGGTGGTGAAAGTAAGTCTCCTGAGGCAAGAGAAACAAAAGCAAAAATAAACTATTTGTACTTCATCAAAATAAAAGCCTTCTGCACAGTGAAGGAAACAATCTAAAAGGCAACCTACAGAATGGGAGAAGAAGTTTGCAATGACATATCTGATAATGGGTTAGTATCCAAAATATAAAAGGACTTTTAAAACTCAACACCCCTGAAACAAATAATCCAGTTAAGAAATGGGCAGAAGACATAAATAGACATTTTCCAAAAGAAGACATACAGAGGGGCAATAGACACATGAAAAAAATGCTCAATATCACACATCATCAGGGAAATAACAATGAAACCACAATGAGATATCACCTCACACCTGTCAAAAGGCTAAAATTAACAACACAGGAAACAACAGATGTTGATGAGGATGCAGAGAAAGGGGAACACTTTTACACTGTTGGTGGGAATGCAAATTGATACAGGCAGTTTGCATTCCTGGAAAGCAAACTGGCTGGAAAAGAGTATAGAGGTTTCTCAAAAAGTTAAAAATAGAACTACCCTATGATCTAGCAATTGCACTACTAGGTATTTACCCAAAGGATACAAAAATACTAATTCAGAGGAATACATGCACCTTGATGTTTATAGTAGTATTATCAACAGTAGACAAATTATGGAAAGAGCCCAAATGTCCACTGACTGATGAATGGATAAAAAAGAGGTGGTATATATAAATAATGGAATATTACTCAGCCATAAAAAAGAGTGAAATCTTGCCATTTGCAACAATGTGGATGGAGCTAGAGTGCATTATGCTAAGCAAAATAAGTCAGTCAGAGAAAGACAAATACCATATGATTTCACTCATATGTAGAATTTAAGAAACAAAACAGATGAACATAGCTGGGGGGAAAAAGAAAAGGCAAACCATAAAACAGACTCTTAACTATAGAGAACAAACTGAGGGCGGCTGGAGGGGTGGTGGGCAAGTGGGTGGGTTAAATGGGTGATGGGTATTAAGGAGGGCACTTGTGATGAACACTGGGTGTTGTATGTAAGTGAGGAATCACTAAATTCTACACCTGAAACTATTACCCCGTATGTTAACTAACTGGAATTTAAATAAAAATTTGAGAAAGAAAAAAATATATAAAATAAAATTATGGTGTTCTCTTGTATTTTAAACCTGAGTGGGTAAATCCTAGAAAATACTTGTATGGTGTTTATTAAATTTGATGTATATAAATACATTAGGATTCTAATGTATTTGCTCTATTTTTAATTGCTTATGTGTTCCTTTGTGGTTTTTCATTATAGACCTATTGCCATTCAAGCAGCTAATTAACCTCTATTATTAGGTGCCTTCTCTACAAAAATACCCACTGCTTTATATTTAATTACCTTTTTCAAATCCCAGAGCCACAACGCTTATAAGATGATAAGAGCAAATAACTATATATGGGGTGGAGAGCATGTATTTTACATGGAGCAAATGCTTTTTTAACATTAAGACATTATTATCTCAATTATTAAAAATAAATAAAAATAAAACCAAGTAACTTAAAAGATCACATTTAGCATTGAATATCTTTCTTACAAAGAAAGTCTAGAGAGAAAATAGCTAGTAAGTGTATAGCTAAAAACATTTATGTCCCCTAGGAGTTCATCATGAACTCTAAGAGTACATTTAGCATAAAATATTTGATTTTATGCAAATCGTAATGTCTATTAATTCCATTTTATCAAATACTCATAATACTGTAATAATAGTCAAGTTTAAGAACTTAGTCACTTAAAATACCTAGAAACCCTGCAAATGTATGAAGGTGTTTATATGCAACAAATTATTTTGTTATTAATTCTGATCAAATAGGAAACAATTTAGTAGCCTACCACAGCTCTCTATTAAAGAAAATGTTTAATATATAAAACTGCTCATATAATCATAAGACAGGCATCACTGTTTTTCCTGAAAATGAATCACTGTTGCTTCACAATATGAAAGTTAATTATAATACTAATAGTATTTGTAATGATCCATTTGAAATTTATTTCCATTAATAAGACATTTTTTATGGAAGAAAGTTACATGATTAGGTTTTTTTTTTCTTTTCTTAAATGAACAGCCTTGACTACAGCATGGAGAATTGTTTGTTGGGTAGCAGGTGGAATAATGAGAGTTGGGGGATGCTCTCATCGCAGTCAGTGTGAGAGGATATAGAAACAAATAACCAAGGCCAGATGTATAAACTGATTTGGTGTTGTATCAAACATAGGAAGTGAAAGAAGGGAAATATAATGAATACTGCTTAGGCTGGCTTGCCTAACTAGATGAAAGATTTTCTGTTTGTTGGAGGGGCTATTGAAAAAAAGCTAAGCTATATTGGAAGGATGTGAGTTCAGTTGGTAAGTTGAATCTGAAGAGGTTTTATGACTGTGTATCCCAGCTCTGGGATCATGATCATCACATAGGAAGCTTTCAAAAACACTTGCAAATGTTCTCATTTAATTTTTTTTTAGGATAGATCCCACATGTCAATAATTTTAAAAAGCCCATAAGTGACCTATTGTTAGTCAACTTTGAGAATCACAGCCCAAGAAGAATCAAATGTAGATAACTAGATGTTGTGTAAATGTAAACCTTCATGCATATGCTTATATATCAAAATATGTAAAAAAAATACTAGAATATTAAAATATGTAAAAAGAGATTATGGGGCGCCTGGGTGGCTCAGTTGGTTAAGCGACTGCCTTCGGCTCAGGTCATGATCCTGGAGTCCCAGGATCGAGTCCTGCATCGGGCTCCCTGCTCAGCAGTGAGTCTGCTTCTCCCTCTGACCCTCCCCCCTCTCATGCTCTCTCTCTCTATCTCATTCTCTCTCTCAAATAAATAAAATCTTAAAAAAAAAAAGAGATTATGAAAGAGATTATGAAAAAAGAGATTCATTCTCTCTCTCAAATAAATAAATAAAATCTTAAAAAAAAAAGAGATTATGAAAGATTTATGGTAATGAAGAACGCTTTTTCCTAGTAAGAAATCATAATATTAACCAGAATTTTCATCAATATGTTGCTTCTTTTCTCCCTAGAGGATTTCTGTATTAGTCTTTCAAAATATTTTCCTCCATTGGTAATGTTGGATATTGTGATTCATTTTACATAAGTATCTATCTAAGCATGGAAAGGTCTTTTCTCTTCTGGCATTAATGTTTATTCCCAAATCTTGCTTTCTTATATTTTTCTCATTTTTTCCTTTCTTTATTAATACTTTCAAGTATTTAAAAATACTTCTTATAGCTTTATCCTTTCCTATATTGTTACTAGTAAGTTCATAAATAAGCTATTGCTTTCATAACCGAATTTTATATCAGGTATTGTTTTTGGAAATGCTTAGTTTTACCGAGATGGACGTTTGTCACATTAAGCAAATGGAGTTAAATTAGTTCACTTTGTTTTATCCATAGTTCACCAATTATTTGGTTAAGTTAATAAATAAGTTCATATTCGATCAATTGTAAACCATAACAATTCCACTACATAACAATCAGTAATTTATGACTGTCAGAGAAGAAATATCAATGAAACTGAACCTTTCAATTATATACATATATATAAATATTTATATATACACACTATACACACCTACAATTCTTTAGGGCATTATATTAATATAAATATGATAAATATATAAACTATTTTAGAACATTATAAATGTATGTGTATGTATACACACACACATTTACCGATAATTAGAAGGAAACACTACCCAATAATTAGAAGAATCATTTAGAATGTTTTTTATGGCCGGTTCTCCCACCGCCCCCGCGGCGGGTCGCAGCAGCTCGGGCGGCGGGAGGAGCGGTAGCGGCCAGGCAGCCCAGCTTCGCGAAGGGTCTCGGCGCGCCGCGGCCCGCAGGCACCCGGCACGCGCCCGCCCCGCCGCCACGATGCCCAAGAGGAAGGTCAGCTCCGCCGAGGGGGCGTCGAAGGAGGAGCCCAAGAGGAGGTCGGCGAGGTTGTCAGCTAAACCTGCTCCTGCAAAAGTGGAAACGAAGCCAAAAAAGGCGGCAGGAAAGGATAAATCTTCAGACAAAAAGTGCAAACAAAGGGGAAAGGGGGAGCAAAGGGAAAACAGGCTGAAGTGGCTAACCAAGAAACGAAAGAAGACTTACCTGCAGAAAATGGAGAAACTAAAAATGAGGAGAGTCCAGCCTCCGATGAAGCAGGAGAGAAAGAAGTCAAGTCTGATTAATACCATAAACCATGTCTTATCAGTGGTCCCTGTCGCCCTTCTTGTACAATCCAGAGGAATATTTTTATCAACTTATTTTGTAAATGCAAGTTTTTTAGTAGCTCTAGAAACATTTTTAAGAAGGAGGGAATCCCACCTCATCCCATTTTTTAAGTGTAAATGCTTTTTTTCAAGAGGTGAAATCATTTGCTGGTTGTTTATTTTTTGGTACAACCAGGATATAGTGGGATATTGAATGTGGGAGGCTTTGATTGTCTTGGGTGTCAGCTCAACATTCCATAGCTGGGGTAGTTTTTATATCCTATAATACCAAGAATACTAAATGGCAATTTGGAGTCGGTCGTGCATTTACTATGTCTTGAATATTTTAAATTACTTCTATTCCCATGTTGTTTTGGTAGAATTGTTTCCTAAAGAAAACCACTCCTAGATCTTGGCTCTCCCGGTCAGAATTCTTGTGCACTGTGTAACATCTTGGTCGTGGTAGTCCAGTTTTCCTAGTAACTCTGTTAATGTGCTGTGCAAGATTGAGAATTTGAGTATGTAGTGTATATGATATTAAATTGTGAATTAATGGGACTTAACAATGTAACAGTGTATCAGCATTTGAAGATCTTGGTACTTGATATACTGTTCAGGAAAATTTGCCTCCAAATTTTAAACTGGAAGGTCACTGGAATAACTTTTAGAAAAGAATCACAACTACATGGTTTTTTTAGATTTTCGGTACGTATGTTAAGAATTGTGTACAAATTGAAACGTCTGTACTGATCCTCAAAACAACCAATAAAAAATTAAGAAAGAATTTTGTGAAGCACATAAAAAAAGAAGAATGTTTTTTATGGGAAATAATGTATTTGGATCTATTTTATAAACTAGAAAATGACTATGAAGGCAGGGATTAGATGCCATATCATTGTCACTTTTGCATTTCCAGTGAGCGATGCTGTGCACAGAGGAGGTGCACAGTAAATATTCTCTCTGTTACACTAGGGTTTAGGACTAACCTGCTAGTAGACTTTTAATACCAATATAATAGCATACCATCAATAACAGCCTCAAATATAAGAGTTCTTTTTTCCTATTCTAAACTCATTCAAATCTTGTCATAAAAATAAGTGTTTCTATTTGGAAAAAAATGATTTTTTTTTAGTATGCACATATAATGATTTACCTGCCTTTATGAATCACAAAATAATAGAGTATTGAGGTTATGAATATTTCACATGCCAGCACTTGTGGCTCAAAATATAACTCAACTGACATAATTTCTGAAAGGTCTACATAACTTTTTTTCATGTTTCTCATTAATACACTATGATGCAAAGTCGTCGGCAATGCAAATTCTTCATCATAAAATGAAAGATTAAATCAAATAAAAATGCAGTGTTAACTTTTAAAACCCATGTTTTAAAAATAAACATTCCACTATCGTTTATGAGGCATCAAATAAAATAGTCACATCATAAATGTGACTTCACAGGAGTTAAAGTCATAAATTCCTTTCCAAATGTTTATGAGGCTAAAGAAATAGAAGCTAGTATTTGAGAAGACTGGAAATTGTTGTGTGACAAGAATTTCTAATTATTCTTTAGTCTCTAATGGATTATATTTAAAAAAAGAAATAAGTTTATTATTTGACTTTCACCTTAAAAAGAAAACTCCTATCAATATGAAAACATGTTTAATATGCTGCATTCAAATAATTGAACTCTACACAGGTCCACAATAGGAAGGGGGTGGAGCTCTTTCAACATTAAACATAGTGCTTTTGTTTCAAAGTTGCTCCTTTCTCTGCTCCAGTCATTGGATATTGCTTGATATCAATATCTGAGTATGTGCTGCCCTTCCCCATTTATTCAGCATTGTCTAACAGTGGCCAATGGAAGTTCATGAATGTTTAGGACACTACCTGACATTAGCTGTAGGAACTCTGTGAAAGGTAATTCTAAAATTCTGAAAGCTTTGCTATGTACTTGAACATTATTTATATGACTTTTCAGTGAAATGTAATGTGTTTTGATGGCACTCAACAAATTGACATTTAATCCCACTGCTTATTGAAAAATGCATTTAAACAAAAAAGAATTATAACTTTCATAGGATTAGGACCTAATAAAGATAAGATGTATTTATCATTTCTTAGTTTATAGCATCAAGGACTGAATTTTGTTAGAAAAGCCTATCCATATTCTATTACTAAAAAAAAAATTTCTGATGTATTTTCTTCTGTTTATTCACCCAAGTAAATTCTAGTAACACTTTATCAATTTATATTGAAAAAATACATTAACTGTGACATATTAATATGTTAAGAATAGAAATCTTCAGAATTCCAGAGTTTAACATTTAGGAAGATTTTTTTTCTCCATTGATTTAGATTCTATTTTATGTCTTCACTAATATCCTAGCATTGTCATAATACAATTTCTAGATATTTGTTTTTGATTTATTCCTAAGTATTCTGTTCATTATATTTTTTTTTATTTTTGTAAGGATTTATTTATTTATTAGAGATAGAGAGTGTGCATGCACCTGTGCATGTGTGAGTGGAGGAGGGGCGCAGGAGGGAGAAGGGGAGAGAATCCCAAGCAGACTCTGCGCTGAGCATGGAGCCTGACCAGGGGTTCAATCCCATGACCCTGAGATCATGACCTCAGCTGAAACCAAGAGTCAGAGGCTTAACGGATTGTGCCACCCAGGCACCCTCATCAATTGTATTATTTTAAAAAGGCATTTTTTCCTCATATTTGTCATGAGGTTTTTCAGTTATGAAAAGTGAAACTGATTTAAATGCATTTATCTAGTTTCTTGTATCTGGTCACATTACTAGTTTCCTTTTAGTTTGAATAGTTTTCTTCCTGGTTGATTTTTTAGGTTTTCTGTGTAAAAATGCCATAACTTCTGAAAGCAATGATATATTTATTTCCAATCACTCCAGCTCTCACTCCCATATATATACATATATACATATACACATGTAAATAAACATACTTACATATTTATATATAATCACCTTTTCTGATTTTTAAATGAGAGAACAGTGTCCAATAGGTTTAAAAAACACTATCTTATATAATGTCCTGTTTAATTATTGCTCCATAACCAATCACTCTAAAACTTAGTGGTTAAATTATAAAGAAATAATTTTATTACTTCTCACAATCTCTATGGGCCAGGGATTTCAAGAAGGCCTCGACTAGGTGTTTCTCGCTTAGGTCTCCAAAGAGTTTGCAGGCAATTGCAGGCTGTCAGGAGCTGGAGTGGTGGGGGCTGGGAAGCACTTAGCTGGAGGCTGGCTAGCTAACTGCTGTCTTATTGCCTGTCCATGTGGTCTCAGCATAGGCTAGTTTGGGTTTCCTCTAGGCATGTCATCCTCAGAACATGAAGATTGCTTACTTGTCACCTGGAGGCTTCAAGAGTGAATATTCCAGAGAGCAAGGCAGAAACTTTACTGGCTTTCATGACCTAGCCATGAAAGACAGTTCATATCATTTCCAAAGTTACTCTATTTATAACGATCAAAAGTTCACTCACAGTAAGGAAGACAGACTCCACCTCTTGATGAGGTGACTGTCAAATAACTAGGAGCCACATTTTAAAAATAAGAGTTTTGGCATTTTGTATGAATTTTGCTCTTTACTTTGAATAAATATTCTATAATATTGAGAAAAATTCCTTCCATTTTTAGTTTATTTGAATATTTTTTCATTTCTTTTAATTAGAATGTATTTTAAAATTTCTATCAGCATCTATCAATATAGTAAATATATTTATTTCATTCCAAAAATATTTAATTTTAACCATGTGCCGGGATCCATGATAGATCCTGAATACACAGAAATGAAATAGGCAAGGTCATTGTGCTTCAGCTGCTGAGACATGCCAACCATGCTGCATCATTTCAATTATAATTTATAACCACGAACTTCCTGTTGGTCAGAGAACTACCCAACTATCCTACATATCGCTGAGTAATTTTCTCTTATACTTAGTCTATTCACCCTTCTCTTCTTCCTTCAGACCTCAAAACTCCCAGTCCTGACTCGCAGTTAATAATCTTGGTTTCTGTTTTGCTGGGTGCGGGGTGGGGGGGAAAGCTATCAGTAGGTATAAGCAGGATCATTTTATCATAAAAATTTCCCATAAAGCTCTACCTCCATATTTTGTTTTCCCTCTAGTTACAATGGATGAATTATTTCTGCTACACTCTCTCCTCCTTCATTTCTGTACTAGAACCTATTCCTTGACCTACCCAAATATTATGATCCTCCCACTAATTCCACTCTTTCTTAGATTATAAAATTTTTGTTTGTCTACGGGATCATCCTTATCAGAATAGAAATACAGTATTGTATTTCTCATTTTAAAATCAATTATATGAATCCATATGTTCTTCCTTTTACTGTTCTGATTCTCCTTATAGCAAAACACTTCTAAAGGCTTTACTAAACTAAAGGTTTTGACTTTCTCTGATGACATTCACCTTTGGATCCATAGTAATCTGTATTTTTCCCCAGAGACCACTGAAACTGTTTTGTATAAATCAGCAATATGTTGCTGGATTCAATAGCCATTTCTTAGTTCTCAGCTTACTTCACTGTAGCACTTGACACAGTGATCCACTTTTTGAAAGATTTCCTTTACAATTTTAAACTCAAGGGAGTGGATTAGTTTCTCATCAACTTATTTTGTCTTATGGTCTACTAAAAATGTAAAGGCTTCAATTTATTTAAGTTGCTAAACTTATTCTGGTAAAAAAATAATTAATTGAATATCAGGGACAAAGTGATCCTCATGAACAAATGCATTTCAAAGGAAACATGTTTATACCTAAGCCTAATATATAGCTAATATTATTCAGAATTATCTTTCATAAAATCAGTTAGGAAGGTTTCCATTAATATCCCTAATCATGATCAGTTTCATTAGTATGGAATTACCTATTTGTAAAGATATGTTAGAATTACCCCCATTTACCTTCTAGTTGGGAACAAAAGAATTAGGAATAGCCCTGCAATCCATTTTCTTCCTTTATCAGGAATGGCCAGGTAAAAGAAGAAAGATGATCTAGTCAAATCCCCTTATAAGATGCTAATGATACATCTCCTGGAAAACATTAATGTTATTTACTAGTAGAGAATCTTTATCTCGTCTGCCTAGGTTAGATTATGTTAAACCAATCCAGTATCTATGGATTTATGGGATATGACTCCCTGAAATTTTTATGTAAGCTATGTGATTATTGGAGTAAAAAAAAAAATGAAGGTGTCTTATCACTGAGATAGATTCCTTTTGTGCGAGTAAGTACTGCATGGCCACTCAGCAACTTCGTATGTTAAATATGGGCCAAAAACCATTCAAACATGGCAAGAAAGGATCTGGGAAGTGGCAATGAAATCTTGAATTCTGAGCTTTCCGTGTCCCTTGCAATTATTCATATACAGAAAATTATTGGAATGCTTGGAATTGCTAAGATTTCTGATTCTCATGTATCTGATTTGGCAATCTGGCACTTTGTGCTATTTTATTAACTCTGGTGTCAGTTTTTAATTTTGACATAATTTCAAATCTTCAGAAAGATACAAAAATAGTACAAAAAACTCCTGTATACTCTTTAACCAGAATTGTTTATATTTGTCCCCCATAGAAATTATATATATTTATATTTATATATATATAAACACACACATACACACATATGTATATATATATAAAAATATATAGCTCATATTTATTATATGTTAAAATTAGATATAAAATGAAGAGCAGGCTTAAAAATTTCCTGAGCAGACAAAACCTATTATGCCACATAAGCAAAAATTAA